AATCTGTAATACAATTTTTTTAAAATCTGTTGAAAGAGAGGACAACAATTTCCACCAGATTGTACTTCAATGTAAACAATGGTAGATTTCCATCTGCTCAAACCGAAATCAGATAACTGTCTTATTTGTTTACAGTGTGCCAAGGCCGTCTCGCGAGCTCATTTCAGCAAAATGAAATGCTAACTCGATGGCGGATGTTGCCAAAATACGTTATTCAAAAACGATTTTATAGTTACAAGCATTATCCTTGATTATAACATGCGTAAAATCTTAACTTGCTACGTGTTGTCATTTACTCGTGACCCGTGAAGATTCCGGGGTAGAATAGATCCATGCTTGCCGTAAAAGGCGACTATGCTTGTCGTAAAAGGCGACTAAGGGGGTCGGGTGGTCAGGCTCGCTGACTTGGTTGATGCATGTCATCGATCCCAATTGCGTGGATCGATGCTCATGATATCAATCACTGGATTTTCTGGTCCAGACTCGATTATTTACAGACCGCCGTCATATAGCTGGAATATTGCTGAGTGCGGCATTAAACAACAAACCAACCAACCATTTACTCGTATTAAAAATGTATATGTGCAAAAGTGAGGAAATTCACGCAAATTCTCACCTTAGAGCAGACGTGGGTCCCGTTGAAGATGGTGGCGACATTTAACTGATGGTGAGGCCAACCATTTAACTGATGGTGAGGCCAGCCGCACAGCTTGATCAGCCTCAAACATTTTTCTCCCGACCATGTGGGTTTGGGTAAGGGTATACATCTAATCCCAGCTATACGTAATGGATATCGACATTGAAAATAGCACAAACCGCAGGCACATCGCCTCTTGGGCATCGTTTGACCTCGGAAGTAAGTCTGACAAATCCGCAAAGTGCGCCCTGCCTTCTGATTGGCTCAAACTGACGCATGCGCCAAATTAGATTGACAGACTGGATCGGTCTATTAGCAATGTTTAACGTAGCCTTTTGAAACCCTAATACTAAATGCTGAAGTCCAAGTCATATTGACCAATAACTAGTTCATATTTAGAATGAAGTTTGTATATGTCATTTCCCATTTCTGTTCTGAAACTATTTTGTAATATGCTAGTAAATGGTGATAAATATTTTAAAATGAAGAAATATATATACATCCAGTTATATCAGTCAGTCTTCATGCGTGAAAAAAACACAAGCCCAGCTGAGGTTTTTTTCCAGGACTCTTTCACGTATGCACTTGTGCACAAGCTACATGTATAGCCGTATGGAAGCACTTGTTGCAAATATGGATAGTTTGAAATATATCGACTATCAAAACTACCTAGTATCGTAACTGAAAGCACAATCATGTTTGAAAGATTTTATCACTTGTCGTGTCCCTTGGTTTTTGTATAACTTCCGTTCCCTTTCTTGAGATACACATATGCTCCTCTACTGTATACGTATAATGTGCATTCAGTATATTCCGCACTATATATTAGAGTATTGTACACTCCATATTCACAAAATTGTTCCCAGCGTGAACCATAAAACGCTTACTGTTCTGTATGGCTCTCAGCGGCCGAGTATAAACACATGCACATGTCCTCAAGAAAAGTAAACATTTCAATAACAGTAAACTACATTTATAACGAACACGCTTATAACGAACTGACGGATATAACGAATTGGTTTTTTTGCCCCTTCCATAAGCTGTATATGCTGTGTATATGCTTATAACGAACTACGGTTATGACGAACTAAAATTATTGGTCGCTTTGAGTTCGTTATTTCGGTAGAAATATATTAAGCATATTGTGACTATTTGGACCTGTTCCGTTCCCGACACTTACTATGTATTTATACAAAATGAATTAGACATTCACGGCCTTGTTCGGCGGACCGGTAAAATGAAGAGACGTATAAATATTCTTTTTCGTTTTCGTAATTAACCGCACTTGCCATACATTGACTGATCATGAGTAAATGTACATAAAATCCAGGTATTTTAACTATAATGAATAAAAGTATATCTAACACCAGAATGATTATTTGATATATGCTTGAGATGTGAAAAGAATTCTCCGAAGGTTTAATAAAAAACTAGTGTACATGCCCAAACTTTTTTTAATGCAAACTTGTGTGTGGCGGATGCTACCGGTAGGACAGGACATGCTTACCATCTTCGCGAACACTTTTAGTCATCACTGATTGTCAGTGATCCAATCATGTAATTTTCACCCCTATTTTGTCTTTTATGCCCAAAGGAATCTCCCGCGTGGACGTTTTATAGTTACAAACTGGTTACACGGTGTAAAACCTCAACTAAAGTCGTATGTAAAATGTGTGACCCAAATAGAGGGTACTTCAGTCTTGTGTGCAGACATATTGTGGTTGGCAAGTTAATGTCACACAGGCCAAACATTAAATATTATGTTGTGTCCTTTCACCACAATAAGGAAATGAAAGCGACAAAACCCTTTCCATATCCAATAGAAATCTCTGCATAAAGCAGAGTTGATTGTACGATTCCGACTATATCATGAGAATGTGTATATGAATAGTAATGGTACCAGGTGTTCGCGAAAGGGTGAGCGTATCCTGCCCCACCGGTGGTACCCGTCACAAACACATGCAAAAGCAAGTCAATTGTTCACCTGAAAAAAGCACGGGAACATATGGTACAAGTCAAAATAGGGAATTGCATCGGCCATCAAATATGGAAATGTGCTCCGCATGTCTACCATAAAACTTTTTGTTTTGAAAGCTTTACTGGGGCCGTGAATGTTGTAACAACTTCTGAGCAAGAGTCGTATGACGCTCTTTGAAATATTGGTAGAAAGAGCATGCTCGATTGTATCTCAAAGGTTGTGAAATGTAAACACCAAACGCTGGAGCTGCTGGAATATTGCTCGACATGAAGGGAAAGTTGACTATTGGAAAGTTACAAATGTTGGGACCATATAATGAAATATATTAGGGTGTGCTTAACTTTTTTTCTTTGTGTATATGTCAACAGATTTGAGGAGGAATCTCCATGCGTGAATCCAGATTGTAGGTTAGTGAGCACATTATCATTCCTTAAATAGTTGTACACATGTTTTAATGTACATTTGTCAAATATCTTTGCTAAACAACTTGTGAGCTAAACCGATCTGTAATTTGTACATTCATACCCTCTATTCTTCTGCTAAATTCAATATGCATTTTTATTATCTCTTTTGACACGTTTTAGAGCCCAGAGAATATTCCAAGTGTTATAAACGTGTAGTATTGAACTTCTTGACACTATCAAAACGTACTTAGTCCCTCGAATGTTTTATGGGCATGAAGACGCAGTATTTGTCCTGCGATCAAGAAAACTTGAAGCGACACGGTTGACTCAGCAGTTGCCAAGATGATACACGGGGTTAAACGGACATGCTTTAAGTGATTTGAAGAAATCGTAAAAGTAGTATATAACGGGTCGCCAGAAGGTCATTTTGGTTGAGGGAGGTTGAGGGAAAATAGGGAAGGTGATTGGCTGATCCAAGTCACGTGATCAGATAGGATGACTCATGGATCAACAGCGCGTCGGGAAAGGGGGGTGGGGGGGGGGATGAAAGGTGTGTGTTTATAAGGCAGAAAAGAATTCATAAGAAAACAAAAGTAAAGGGTTATGAATAGAGCTATGTGTATAGCGTGCTGCCCTAAATAGACACACAGTACCCGTCAGCCCAGTTTGAATTGGGTGTGTGTTGAAAGTACATCATACCACAGTAGAGACGGGTTGTGTCAACATGATATACGCCGGGCAATGTAGGAAAAAATAAAAAAATAAAAAATGTACGTCTAGCTGGATCAAATTCATCTTGTACGGTCTACACGTTGTACACCATGAACGTTAGACAACCTGTATAGAAAAAAATATAGACAAAATAGATAAGACTTCACAATCAGCAAGCTAGCAGTGTAGTTTACATTTAGCGCGCAAGAACGAGGTAGTCATGTCACCCTGCATTGACTATAACGCTGAAGGCAGCCGGATTTCGAATCACCCGCGCTGCGTACTATTGTGAACCATTTGTAAAGAATTATTCAGCCCTGTCCCTACTTGCATAGTTGATGTTTCAATGCTAGCGTTTCCATTTAACGCGATGACAAATAAGCCCTACGGTTTGAGTTTTAACCGTGTAACATGATGTGCACAGTTTTACTTCAGAACGTGCTATTTTGAAAATAGATAGAAAACTGATGAGTACATGTAGCAGTGTGACGGCACGAAGCTAGGTTTGATGGGGAAGAGATGGAAGCAGTCTATAAGACATTTTCATGTTTACAATACTCACCCTTAATTCGAAGAGAGAACATAGTTTATCATGGAAAATTGTTTGACGAGGAAAATGTTTTATGGAAATATATGTCGAAGTAGGTTTATTCATAGCTAATGTATAGCAGAGAGACTAAGCGACCGACCGCCCATAACAATGTCAACATACCCCGGCCTTACAATTAATGTCAACATACCAGTCTCCCCTGAAGCTTCCCATTCATAAATTGTGTGACCAGTGTCCCGTATTTATGATATGTTAGGGAAGATGTGTTGTACATTTGTTATTTTAAAAGGGAGTTATTTCAGAGAGGATATATATGGGTATTCCCCTCATTAACCCTTTCTTTCGTTGGTGTCTATTAAACGTATCCGGTATTTAATACATTTGAATGATGTAGGAAAGTATGTGCGTGTAGATGTTGTACCTATATCCGAACACGAATGTATGACACATTTCAATAGATCAATTACGGTTCTAACCACGACACGCAACATGACTATGAGCGTGGTTAGCAGTTCATATTTATAAACACATCGTAAATGACAGATTTCTGATGAATGAACTCGCACGCACACATGTCTATAGGGTTATGCTTGTCGTTTTATATTGTATTGACTCAAGTTTTGATTGTTTGTTGTTAAACACAGCAATATTCCAGCTATATGACGGCAGTCTGTAAACAATCGAGTCTGGGACAGACAAGCCAGTGATTGATATCGTGAACATCGATCTACGCATTTGGGATACGATGACATCCATCTACCAAGTAAGCGAGCCTGACCACCCGATCAACTGCCATCTAACAATAAAGAGAGATACATTTCCTAAAAGAATGTCATATTATTTTTAATAATCCTATTGAGGTGGATCTGACACTCAGAACGGCCATGAATCTATTCAAATAAAAGATTAAGTTTTTCTAACCTTGAAATAACTTCAGAAAGATTTAATGGAATTATTTCAAAACTACTGAACGTCTTCAGCCTGACACCCTTATCTAATTTCATAACCATTATTCATTACAGCGGACGCTCGTCTTTGGATCAGCATCATTCATCAGTTGGGCTGTGACGTCGTTCCTATGCCACCAGTCTACCTATATGTTCTTGGGGACATCCGGCAAATTCCTGGGTAATGGGCTTGATAGGTTCATATGGGCGATCATCATCACACTATGTCAGGTTACCATGTGCTATCTGCTCACCGATGTACACCTCTGGGACCCACGTTCCACAAAGGCAAAGAAGATATTGTGGGTGAAAGTTGCCTGCCACGTGTTGGCCACCATGGCTACAAACTACAGCATGACGTTGGTACATGCGTCGTCCACATTCGCCATAAAGCTCCTGGAACCAGTAACGAGTGCCATTATTCAGCGTCTGGTTTTAGGAACATCTCTGCCACCCTCCATCTATGTCACTCTTCCTCTCATCATCGGTGGTGCTGTAGGTTTTTGTGGAAATTCCTTTAATACGTCCTTGACAGCTGCTGGCGTTGCCATGGCCTTTACGTCCAATATAATACTGGCCTTCAGAAACGTGGCCATCAAATTGGAACAGAAGGACCCTTCCACTCAACATGTCCAGCTGAGACCGAAGATATTGGTCTTCAGCATTGCAGGTGTTTGTGTTACACTGGTTGTTGGCACTAAATACCTTGCTTCACAAAAATTTGTGTCGACATCTTTCTCATTCTTGGTTGAAACAGCATTGTGCTCCAGCGTCTTCCACGTCATCTACTCCTACATCTCAACCAACGTCGTGCTGCTCTACATGTCTGTTGTCAGCCACTCCGTCGCCAACATCTTCAAGCGGATCCTCGTTGTGCTGCTGCTTTACTCAGTCGGACAAAGGGAGGCAACACTTGCTAACTTCTCCGGACTTGGCATCTGTTCCCTTGGTTTAATTATCTATGTCTTGGACAAGAAAGGAAACACCTACTCCTCCATTTTCTATACACCATCAAGTAAGTAGTTTTTTATTTAGTAATTGAATTGCAGAATGTTAAGCTGCATATTAATGAATACGTAAATATTATCTGACATAGGTTGCAGAATTACAAGCATGATTTTTAAATACATGTTAATATTATGTAAAGTTGATATGTGGGCATACACAAACATTTGCGGCATATTGAATTAAAGTTACTGTATTATTGATATAGAACATTATATTCGATCTCTACGCCACGACTGTTTACAAACTATTCAAATGTATATATGCCGAGGTCAAACATAATTGCTGTTCGTCATTATTGTTTTTCAGAGATCATTAGAACACGCATCTTGGGACTTTGCTTTCTCTGTTTCTGTTTTATCATTGTGAGATACAATGACGTCAACACAAACAACGCCATCGGTGATGTATATCGATATTTCATACCAGGGCGTATTGTCAGAAGCAGTAATCTCTTAGGAAAATCATTTGAAGGAAAACCATTTTCTAAGTATATCCAGGACTTTTCCACAAACGCCCTGAGCATAAAAACGTCGAGTGTAGAAAACTTTCTCAAAAGAAAGCTAATCCTGAGTCCGAAAGAAACAGATATTCTTTCTCAAAGTCTTACATCGTCCTTGGACATCATCAGAGAAGCACAGAGAGTTCATTTCAACTTGTTTTCTGACATGCTTTCGCCTTACAAACAAGCAATACTATTAGACATCGCGTCTTTCGAAAACAAAGGTGACCCTGCTATTACAACGGGTGAGGTGTTTCTTCTGAGACGCCTCGGTATAAAACTTCTATATTACTGTAATTTTCATGCTTGTACGGACAGGAATCTTGACTATGCCAAGAACCTGACAACTAGATACTCCCACAATGACCTCGTTGTGTTAATTCACGGAGGTGGGAACCTCGTTGGATATTCTGTAAGTGATAAATTACGTGAAAAAATATTCCAACGGTTTTCCAACTTTATGATGATATTGTTTCCCCAGAGCATATTTCTAAATAAGAAATCCAAAAAACAACATCTTGAATTTTGTAAGAAATTGTACCAAAATCAAGGGAACTTCACCATGGTACTTAGAGACAGGCAATCCTTGGGGTACGCGGAGACTTACTTCAAAGGTAAACCAATACTGATGATGGCTCCAGACATGGCCTTTCAGATTGGCGCTGTTCCAAGATTTATCTCCCCTTCTTTTGATATTTTGTGGTTGAAGCGTTCAGACGACGAGACTCCCGGATACAAATTGCCCAAACTTCCATTAGGGATTACAGTGCACTGTTCAGATTGGTTGGGTTGGAAAACTCAGACAGGACATACAACCATGGAAACTGCTTTCCTGATAGCCAATAATGGGTTGATATTTCTGCAGCGTGGTCGTGTTGTCATCACGGACAGATTACACGGACATATTCTCAGCACTTTACTGGACATTCCTCACGTGTTGATTGACAACTCATATCGGAAGTTGTCGTCGTATCACAACACATGGACACGCGGTCTGGCTAACACAGTGATTGCAGACAACGCCTCCCACGCCCTAGAACTGGCTGTGCAACTGTTGCAGAAATATGGCGACGTTCTGCCACCTATTGCTCCGTATATGGATGTGGGAGAGGAATCGCCACGGTAATCATCGGCCGCTTGAGAGTATACTTGGCATCATCACTACATAGTGATTTATAAACACAAGCATGTATATGTTACATCCAATCACGGCAACTGCCAATTGCGTGCATTGGTCAGGCCGTTAGCCCCATGCGTGCAATGGGCAATGCAGCTTGCCCTGTGCATGCAATGGACAGTGACGTGTATGAGTTTTAAAATCTTATTTACAGAAGTCAAAAGGACAAAGTTATTTTATAAGGATCTATTCACCTAAACGATGACGTTCGCTGAACTATATCTACTCATACAGTTGTATTTCCTGCTTACAAGCAGGGGTTGGGTTATGTATAATTGACATACAGTATATTGTTTTGATATCAATTTACCTGAATGAATGAAACAAGTTATCCTTTAAAAAAGTGTTCATTGTATTACATTTAGTTACAATTAGATTCTCTATCTTTGAGAGGTATTTTGATCTAAATGCACTGTTTCCCTTTGATCATCCCCGAAGCATAAGTAAAGGCTTTGTGACAACTAGTTATGTTTCCTCCTATTTCCACAAACATTCTGATGGCATATTATTTTCAGAAAAAGGTTAAACCAATGCAAATGTGGCACGAATTGTTTTATCTTTGATATGAAAAATATTAAGTCAATTATATCTACTCAATTTGAGAGAGTTTGTCATATGATGATGCCTTTTTAAAACTACCATTAGAAGTTAAGTATAAGTATATGTTCTGGCCAAAAAACTTTTTTTCTCACATGCCTCCGTAGGACTACTTATCTGATTGATCGTCCCTGTGTTCCTCTGAATATGAACAGAAAGGTATTGACGTCCTCAAGCGAGGGAGGACTGGACAATCCATGCCACTAGGTTGGAGAAAACAGATGATGCTATTAAGACCCTCCAAGATGTTCAATTCATGAGCAATAAATATGATGAAAATGCGAAGGAGCAAGCTATAACTCGCTCAACCACTGAGACATCGAACAAGCAACATAAGCTGGAAGTGGGTGGATTAATTGAAAAATGAGAAAGAAGAATAAAGAGTGTATTGGCTCCCTATCTTGTGATCTACATCAGGTGAGACCTACAGTGGGAGGAGATGAGGAATAATCTGTTATTCAGCGGGATAACAAAAGTTGGAGAAGAAGAGACATAAGAAAAATTAACAACATTCATAAGGAAACTCTTAAAGTGGAAGAGACAATATTGTTTGACAGAGTGCATCGTCTAGGGCCCCAAAACGCGACCCATTGTAGCGCGCATGTAGTCGGACTTTTTCAATGGAAAACTTTGTCACTTTTGTTTATAAGAATTTACAGATTCAGAAGATTACTAGCTAAGATTTCCTATCACACTACAATTCACACAAGTCAGTACTAGCCCCAGAGATGTATATCACATCGAAATGCTTCAGATAAAGACTTGCTCTGTGTATTAGCCAAGTTTCGAACTCTTTCTCATTGTCTGTATTCCCAAACTTCGTTATAGTATAGACAAGTAGAGATTGCTGCAGTGCATCAATTGTTCCCCGCCATATAATGTCATATACAGGGGAAGGAAGTGTAAGCAATGGGAGAGGATTGGTTCAAATTGGTTGTTGTTGTTAATGTAGTTATCTTTGGAAAGAACAATAAAAGAAACAGTGTCTTTAAATGGCCATCACAAGGAAATCCTTGGCAAGACAACACGTAACTTGGCCTATCAGACAGAACTTGGTATATACCCGCTATTAGTACCAATAATATAACATAATTGATTAGAAGTCCTAAATAGAAAACACAACAAATATCATTCTTAAACATGCTTTGCTAGCAAATATCCATATTTCTGGGCAAAATGTTGGCTGGGTTAAATAAAACAAAATTTTGAAATAGTAAACACAAATAAATGCAATGAATCCATTGAAATTTAAAAATTCATTAAGGGATTCCCATTTATCCAACAGCAAGTTTAAGTACATACAGGTTGGTCAAGTCATCTATATATATTGAGAATTATCTTACATATTGTAAAAACAAAGCTCATGGGTCATATTTTTCTCACATATTCGTTTAAGTAATCACAAACTAAAAATTTAAACTGGTAGATATACAAAAACACAAACCCCAGTGGAACAACGTCTCTGTAAAACATGTGACGTCTTAGAAGATGAGCAACATTATGCACTGTCTTGTTTCAAATACAGACCAAGAAAGAGAATCACAAATAATCCTCAATCATAGTAAAGAATTTGGTACACTGTAAAAAAATACAATTCTTAATAATTTTTAACATCAGTTATCCAGAAACAATTTCCAAGATCTGTGATCTTACCTACAATTATAAACAAATTACCATAGTTTTGCTCAATTCTCGTAATGTTTCCATATCATTATAATACACTTGTTTTAAAATAAACTTCTTATAATGTGCCTCCTTTGTATGTTGAATATACTTGTGTGTTTTGCACTTATTGTGCATATATTTTGTTATTTATGATAGTGTAATATTGCTACTGTTTCTTCATGGAATGTTATGCAATATATATATCATCTAAAACATCCTTGTTGTATGATAGTTTGTTACAGTTGTGTACAGGGGCACGGTTAGCCCAATCGCCCAAGGCGCTGTAATTCACTATGAAGAGTTGCCAGAAACCTATGACACTGTGTTCGAATCCCGGTTAGCCCCGATTATGCAGCTAGCTCTGTACCCGTGCTAGTGGGTTTCACCAAAGCGGTGGGCGTCTAAGACCTGCATCACTTCGGGCTTTCCTCGACACGCCTCGACACGCCTGATACAAGTGGAATACTATTCAAAGCGGCGTTAAACCCAACTCACTCACTCATTACTCTTGTGTACGGTTCCTTTTGATTAACTAGGTTTGTGTTGTGCTTACGTCGTCTAAGGCGCCGTGATTCGCTGTGCAGAGTTGCATCCCTTGGGCAAGCCAGAAACCTATGGTTGTGGGTTTGCCCCGATTATGTTTCTAGGTTTGTCAGCACCATACCCGTGGTCGTGGGTTTCATCGAAGTGGTAAACGTCTACGACCTGCATCACTTGCGGCTTTCCTTCCGCTGACACGCCGTGATATAACTGGAATACCGTTAAAAGCGGCGTTAAACATAACTCACTCACTCACTTTGACCATTGTGATGAATTAGTTGTTGAGGACGAGTACCATTTTGTACTAGTCTGTACATATCATGAGCGAGGTAGAAATACATTCATTCCACAATTTACCATAAACATCCTTAATTGAACTACTGTCCTCTACAATTAATTCAACAATCAAAGGTCTTTCTTTGTATCTGAAGAGAAATTTAAAAAACAAAAAACAAAACAAAAAAAACACATTATTGTGTATTATGTATTATGACACACACCATGGACTAATTGTATATTAATTGTGAAAGATCCACAAATAAATTAGATATGAAGGTATTGTACTCTGGGCCACGAGGCCTCCAATACTAAAATAAAGAATCTAGAATCATTGTTACAACGTGCAGTTCAATGTGGGAAAGAATCGAGTGAATGAACGAACAAAAGAAAGATATGTTAATTAAATTTCCAAAACTTTTTTTTTATAAAACAAGGCTTTTTTATAGTCACTTCAGTAACTATCTGCCATACACCTGTGTATGAGGTGACACATTTTAATACGTAGAAGGTTGGGAAACTCAATTATTTTTATACTGTTACGTTGCCGTACAAACCGTTGTAAGTTTGTTTATGGTGATTGCCAGTTGCAGCAAATGATTGAGGTGTTCGTAAAATGTCTAGTACTGTCGGTGGCAGCAATTAATAGTTTCGAGACGGAACAGTTTCAGGAAAGCTGACTGTACCAGTAAAAGAGCGACAAGAGGGCGATTCGAGGCCTTTTTCGATTTGATTTGTCTCTTATCAACTTAAAAGTGAGGATTTGATACCTATCTGAAAACACCTACCAGCATCCAACACTATTAATCCAAGGCAACATGTTAGAAAAGTCCTCATCGCTTAGGATGTAGTGGAACCAATACAACCGATACAACTTTCACCACGCATCATCCTTGGGTCTTCTACCAACAAGGAAATGTTTCTCCTCACTGCAGTAGCAGGAAGAAGCTACCATGTTTCAATAAAAAACACGTTTCCCTCTGCTTTACCAACAGTGCTTTTACTTCAGATTAAGGTCAGTATCATTACAGGAGCAAAGTGTTTGGCTGGTAATTATTCTTTGTTTAATGTAAGGTTTTCGAGTACTTTGTGGTATCTTTTGATACAGGTAACTACTGTTATAACAAACTTAAAGGGACCACTAATTTTATTTCTTCATAACCGTACTTCACTTTAAACATACATACAGCATATATACATGAAATTACTAGTACCTAAAAATCACAGTTCGTTATATCCGTCAGTTCGTTATAAGCGTGTTCGATATAAGCGTAGTTCGTGTAATTGAAAATCTGTTTTCCTTGGAATCTTCCCGCCTTTTGATACCAGAACACAACTCTTGGTAGCATTGTAACACAACCTCTCTTGGGATGAGAAATCGTGCACAACATGAAGAGAACATTGCAGACCATGACTGGTTGTGCTGATTAATGTTGTGTCCTGACCTTGATTCTGGTTAATCTTTAGACCTAGGATGAGGTTATCTAATCGTTTGACCAAATCATTGATGTATACAAGGAAGATCCACGGTGACAGGACTCTTCCTTGTCCGAATCCTTGTCTGACTGGAACAACAGGTGTGTCTGGTTCATTTATGCTGTAGAGGAGATTAGACCAGGGGCATACGATGACAGCGTACAGGATGCTAGGCTGTTTCTTATTATAGTACAGCTCGAAGCCTCGTTTTGGTGTAGCTCTACAGCCAAGACGCCTATGGCCGTGACATCACATCCCCTGCCCAATAAAATGTTGTTATATGTGTCATTCACCTTCCTCACTAAATGGTTGATATGTAGATGACAATGCACTATTACTTTTGCCACTGATTCATCCAACTTTGAAAGCTCTACTGAGGCCTTGAATGTTGTAACCTGTTCAAACAACTTTCAAGAAAAAGTCGTAGGATGCTCATTTAAGTCTTCGCGAGTGTACCTTAAATGTTTATATTTGAGTCGCAAAGGCTGAAGGTGCTGGAATACTGCCTGACACAAAGGAAAGTATGGTCATTGGAAATCATTCTTATCATACAATCGGGTTGGTGCTGACAAACCTTGAACATCATAAAGCGATTCTGGAATACGAACCCAAAATAATAGACGACTGGACCACCCATGGCCCACCACACGTACATGTATGTACGTTGTAGGCCTAATAAGAGGCTCTACATTCATACAGAAGCGATAATTAGAATTTAAGGGCTGCAGCGATTGTTTTGTCCGGCATCTATCCGATTCATATTATTTTGGCAACACTCTATTCGTTTTAACCGAGCAGCATTTCAGCAGCGACAGACAAAATATCTTAAGCATGGTACATTTCTGGTAACCTGCATTCTTATGTGTCCGCCAAGTGTATTTTGTCTACGGTAGACAATGATTTAGATGATCACCGCAACATCACAAAAGAAAATATTTATTTGAAAGCACTTCTTTCACAACACAGACCGGTAGTGCATTTCGCTTAATTATGTTACATAATAGACGATTTGAAAACCCGTGTTCAGGATTCCGGAATCCACAACACGGTTTTTCAAATCGTTCAATATGTAAAATAATTAAACAAGTGACATAAAACACGGACAAAGCCTAAATTGGCGTTTTGGGGAAATTCAATAACATCAAAACAGTTTTTACATTTATGTATTACTCGCTTACTGTGACATCTTGCCTAGAGTGTCACAAAGTCATTATCCCGTCGTCACAGAGGTGGTTACTTCAGTTTCTTCAGAGAATCAGTACTCACAGGGTATCCACGCGATAGGATCTTGTAAAACTATGCTCCACCAAATCTGGTATTTCCCCAAAACACTTCACGTGCTTTAAAGGAAGGCAGTGTCCCACAGTGACATTGGTGTTGCCACACCACAGATGAAACATAAACTTATAACCTACCTACAGCTAATGCTGCAGGTAGTTGGAGATGCATGGCAGGTGAAGGACCGCCGTCTTCACTGTAAATCTGTGTCGGGTGTGTACGATACTCTGTAACAGTGGACAATCCTATGTAGATGAAACATCCCGCCCCATCAACACCAGAATCAAAGAGCACAAAACGTCAACCATCAAATCAGACATCATATCAGCAACTGCCCCAATCACAACATCATTTGGGAAAACATCCAAATCTTCTCCAACAACGTCCATGTCTTCACTGAAAGTAAACTAGCAGAAGCAGTTAAGATTCGCCGCCACAAGCTGCTATCAACAATGATCAAGGCTATTTCATCCCATTCTTCTATATGAACTCATCAAGCAATCATCCCACCCAGGTTAAATTGTCTTCCTGTTCAATTTGCTTCCTCAGTGTGTGTTCTCTGTTCATCATGTTGTTACCATTATTATCATTGGAAGCACCAGTCTGCAACGGTAGGAAAATATTAACATATCGTCCCCTCGTCATATTAAAGAGGGTAAGCTTATGAGCTAAACTACTGCCTTTCCTAACTGTACTCAGCGTTCCCTTGAAATAGTATGAGGTTTCAACGATTTACCAGAGCACACCTTTGCTTTACTGTAGCGTTTATTCGCTACACGTTGGGGCGCTTTCGTTATAATCCTGTGAATTTTGGGATATTCCTTTGGGGTCCAGGCTAAAATCCTTTGATGTGGTATATTGTACATGTTTTCATGTTTGGGTCTAGCATGACGTGTATATGTGTTTAATGTATTAAAAATAGATATCGTATATTTACACCTATCCGTTTCTTAACCTTTTCTCTCTTGTGATTTAGTCTACTGCTTATGAAAACACTGACCCCATAATGTTTGAGACATTTGAGGCCAGATACACTGATTCCATAAAATGTTAAAGCAATATTTTCAGTGACTCCCTGTACACGTTCAGGGTCATACCATGGATGGACCTCGGGATCAGAGCCACAAACATAGCAACGATGATAACAAGAAGAACGAACCATGTCACTATGTTGTGTAAGATGCGTTTGTTGTTCTAAGTCAGGACATCTATTGACAAGGTGACAATCTACATTGATATTTACATTTTCCTGATGATTTCTACAATGACCGCCTGAAATTGACTCCGTTGGACTGCGGTGTCTGCGACACAATTTATACAAGCGTGAGAACGATGTTCACCCCAACAATACTTCTCATACTGGTACATGAGATAGTACCATGTTGACCTCAACAAATACTTCTCATACTGGCACACGGGATAGTACCTTGTTGACCGCAACAAA